AAATAAAATAAACTGCGTGCGTGTGTATGTGCGTGCGTGTGTACGTGTGTATGCAGGTAACACCACGTGTGTAGAGTCCCTGCTGTCTCACGGAGCAGATCCAGACTATGAGAGGTCCCATCTGGGCTCTCCTCTCTACATCAGCTGTCTGCACGGACACACAGCCTGCTCAAAGGTTCTGCTGCAGAGCGGTGGGTCAACATTCTGCCTTTTCATTTCAAATAATCTATGCTGCATCATTGTGATTCGTATGAATGAAAATGCATTGCACTTTACTAGCCACAAACAAAGAAATGTAAGGATATGGATGCATCAATATAGCATTCACTTTAAGTTACATCTGCTATGAGTTCTTACTACAGATGGTTATTGGGGTGTTTAGGAGAGTATGTGGTCATATTGTATATAAGCCCATCAGCCAACCACTAGTTTATAAATAGGCAAGAGCATTCATAAGACATGTATCGTTGATTATAATTCATATAAATATTTTTTTTACAATAAGTCTCTTGAAATGTGTTTCCTTCATTTTATAACTTATTTTGTCATTGGATATACGTGATTTTGGCATGTCCCACACACTACTCTGCTAACTACAGTGTGTGTAATAAGTGGTTAAAGGATACTACATTTTAAAAAGAATTATATGGTGTTATTGTCCACAACGAGTTATTTGATAAAACGAGTCATTTTGATCATGTATATTCTATTTTCATAATAATATTGAACATTTTTCATGTGTCCCTGACATTTTCTGTCCACCCTGCCCCATAAAAAAACCCTCTGATGTTTTCAGTGACATTACTACCACCATTTTGTCTTTCTTCAATGGAGGCTGAGACATTGGATAGTTGAAAAGTACGTTTTTTAACTTATATTTCGAAATGTTAATCATACTATGTGTGTAGTTGGATGTTGTCAAGCTTAACATGTCCACTCTGTCATAGTGAAATGTCAATTAATATAAAAAGTTAAAACCTTTCAGAAATTCGAAATATATTTGTTAAACAGTACACAGTCACCTTGCTAACTGAATCATGTTGCTAACTGAAGGTCCACCATGTGCTCATTAAATGCTAATATTAGCCAAAAATGTCCACCCTGTCATTGTCCACCCTCAGCAAACCTTCCATAAATAATATAAAATGTACATTTTCAGAAAGCTATAGTGCCTTTCTCAACAATATATTTAAGTTAATGGAAATGTACATTTTATAATCACTACAGTATGTAATTACAATGTATTTACTCTTTGAATTGTGTCCATGACAGGGTGGATACATTTAGCTGTTTGCATGTACTTGCAGTTCATTTATAAAAAAGTGTGGGAGCTTGACCAACATCCATTTCTAACAGCATAACGTCTACTTAATACAATGAATATGAAGTTTAATGGAAAATCTCAGATTTCTTTTTTGGAAATGGGGAAGTCTCAAATGCACTGTATGGTGATATTGACTAAGATCCTCGAAGCAGCTTCCTTTTTTCGTATTCTTGTTGGGAAACACTTTGACTAGCATTGCAAGTATGAACGGTATACAAAATAAAAGGTATGATTCCTATATTATAAAGGCACAACATTAAATGAGTCTAAACTATAAATATGCTGTAACTTTAGGGGCACAGCCATAGCAACTTTCTGAGACATGCGTTAACCTCATTTAGAGTAATTTATGATGTCTAGAGTATTGTCACATGAAAACCTCTCAGCCCACAAGAAGTAATGAATTGAAGTTTAGCAATAATTGCTCTGAGCGTTGAGAGCTGGATGCACCAATTATGGTCTTAACATTGTACACAAATATTTTCCTCTTCAAGTCTGCCTCTAACAGCCACTACAAAAACATTAAGACCCAAAGGCTGTGCAGTTTAATTAAGTTGAATGATTTACGTGCAGCTCTCATAAATTCACTTGGTCGTTTGGGGCTGGATGTGCAAGGTTGCAAAATGTAACAGATGTAACTTCTCCAGATTTATTTTTGCAGTATGTTTAAAGATCTGTTGTAAGGAGAGATGTGCTGATCTCACTATCTTAAAAGTGGACTTAAAGGGGCCCTATTCCGCTTATTAGTGTTTTCCATTCCCTGTAATGTACTGTAGGTGTGATACAGTACACCCAAAGTTACCTCCAGAGGGAGTTTCTCTCCCACACACACACACACACACACACAAACAAACACACACAACACCTCCATTGGACTCCTTTGTTTACTTCTGTAGCATAATCACATCACCACTCGGCACTCACACTTCTATTGGTTGGCTTTTCCCCCCTGCCTTTCTCTTTTTGTATCCTTGGCCTTTGCACTAGCTTGAACAGTTGGTTGCTGATTGGCCATGTGGCTTGGCTTGGTCTGAGCCACATTGTTTGTTTCCCCATTTACAGAGTCAGGGTTGTGTATGAACACCAGATTATTTTACAGAACACACACAGAACATTCAGCCATTTTGACGTGAAGAGATGTTGCTGAATTTTTCAGTATAAGTATAGCTGACTACAACTGTAATGTCACAGTGGCACTTTTACGAATTGTTAAGGCAAAGGTATTCAGGCTGGGTTTCGGCGGTTCATGACGGTAATACCGCCAGCGAAAAATAGGCTTATTTGAATGCAAGCGCTGAATGTGTCAGAAAGACCTCAAATTATTGTCATTTGAGCTGCTGCCGAGTAGAGTATTGCTTCACTGGTTCCATTGGGTTTTTCATTTCTATGAAGCCAGATTCTACTGGAACAGAATCCAACCGCGCCGCCACTCATGTGAGCGCCTGCCATCATCGCATAGAAATGGAAATAATTAGCATGCCGATTACAAAAAAAAAGGTCTGTTCAGATGGCCAATCTCACAGATTGCTTCCCCCCCCCCTCTCCAAACTTGACACAGCTCTCGAGCTATGGTTATTCATGTTTCCTCTAATGAGGCTGCCATATAACACATGCAGTAAACAGACACACTCTCTGCGTCACGATCAACCAGTGTCCGCTGTCGCATCTCTCTATGTGGTTTGAAGTCCACACAAACGGAAGATAGGACGGAGTAAATACATGTTAATGGGGCAGTTCACCCCAAAACCTGAAAAGGACATATATAGTGGGGGAAGTGCGCTCGTTGCGTGTGTGACGTCTGTTTGCAGCTCTGGGACTTGCTACAGTATGTTGGTGAGACGTTTGTTTGGTTTGTTTGTGAGATTGACAGATTGTTTGTCTTTTGCTGGCTGTTTCTTCAACTACTTTAATCGGAAAAGCGTCCGTTTGCTCCGGTCAAACGGCCGCACTGATGGCAGAACAAATGAAAGAGAAAGGGGAGAGTTACAACGAGCCTGCTTTGCCTGAGCTGCTTTTCTGAGTTTAATATCTAATGTGGCATCAAGAGGGCTCATTGGTTGTTTATAAGAGATGGGGGGAAAGAGTTGGGTAACTATGTTGCTATTCTTTGGCCAAAAAGACACACGTAAAGGATGCTGCATCCATGTTGCTTTTAGGGCAAACAATGCTGGCCTCTAGTGGGGAAAGCAACAAAACACAGCAGCCTGATAAATCATTGGAAGTATCAACCTCCCTTGCTTTGTTTGGTACACCAAATTGTACTTTAAAAAGTGTTACATAGTGATGTCACTATGCTTCAGAAGTAAACAAAGGAGTTGTTTCAGGCATGTTTTAAAAACATAAATGAAAAATGTATCAATGAATCTTTGATAATGTAACCAAATAATAAAATCTGTGTATTTTAAAATGTACTAAGGGCTTTTATCTCAGTGCCCTACATTATTATTATTATCTTATTTTCCTTTCATAGTTTAAGTTGTACACCCTCCTCTGATACCTATAATCCAAAACAAACATTTAGAAATAAACTTGGAGGACATAGAGCAAAACATATTTGAAAATCAAACAGCAGAGTTTGCATACCACATATTTACTTGAAGTCCACAGAATGAGCAGAAATCTATAAACAAATAAATATTTTTAATTTATTACACTATCTCAAAGACATTTCTGTCTGAAATACAACAACAGGGTGACGTCAGATTGCCTTCATGATATTGTGTCTAACATTGTGATCCATAATATACAGAACAATCATTACATTGCAAGACAATTAATAGCGTGTGAATGTCATACCTAAACAAATATACACGAATGGGCTCTGTAACAGTACACTATGTTGTAAAGAAAGCTACTGAATTACATAAATGCTCTGCTTTATGTAACATCTTTCTTCAATACCGTAGTCAACACTGTTGGACATTGAAGAACTGGCTTTGCATGTATAATATCCATACTGTGTGAGGATGAAAGAAACAGATATATGGAAAAGATCCCTGCTGTGCGGAAACACATCTGTGCTGGGGAAGGTTTGAGTCTTTTTAAACCAAGCCTGTTCTTTTTTCCATCTTTACTTCAATTAATGTGAACAAACTCAGTTTTTTGAACCCTTGTTAGTTAGCTAACTAACTAACCAACTAATTAGCCTCTTATGGATACATCGTGTTATTTTCTCTAGCTAACAAGGTAGTACCACAAAACTGGTTCGATGTATCGTAACGGACATATGTTATCTGAAGGGAAACTAAATGTTTTTCAAATTATTTTAAAGCTGGGCATACACTGTACAGGCAGCTGTGGCTCAAGAGGTAGATGGTCGTCCTCCAGTGGGTTGTTTGATCCCCAAGGACACTTCAACGTGTCAAAGTGTCCTTGGGGAAGATACTGAGCCCCAAATTGCTGGGTGAGTCTAGGTGTGGCACTCAGCAAGGCAGCCTACGCCTCTGTATGACTGTGTTGGAATCGGTGAATGATGAGTTGTATATTTAAAAGCAATTTGACTGGCAGTAAAGACAGAAAAAGTGCATAATATTTGCATAATAAAGTGCAAAACACATTTTTAGACATGCAACACCAATTTTAAAGTAGGACTGAATGAAGGTTTGTTGGGTGGTGTTGGCTAAGCTGTGTTCAGGGATAAGCGAGGACCGACGGTGGCGCAATAATGCTGTTTTTCGTTGCTCCAAACCAGACAGTGTATATCCAGCTTAAAATGAGAGTGGAAACTGAAACGTTACTTATCTATGGCGGCAACGTGACAGCCCTCGAATATGGCTGCCCTGAAAGCATCTTAACACCACTTCCACGCACATTATAGTAGGCAGCACCTCTGTTTCCAATGCTTACTAGTAGGAGATACTGTTGCGACCTAATTGAATTTGTTTGCATCCTCGCTGTGAGCACCAATACCAGTTTAAAGTGGAGAGAGGAAGAGGAGTGGATCAGGAGGAGATGGAGCCTGAGTCTTCACCATCCGTGGAGTTGTTCTCGTCCGCAGACTCTGTGAGGGCCGGGTAGGGCCTCGGCTGGTCCAGGTTCACGTAGGTGACGTTCAGACTGATGTAGTGTTCTCCCTCCAGGCCGGTCAGGATGGTGGCGACGGCCAACAGCAACGTAGAAAAGTTGGGCCTCAACTCCGGATCAGGGTCCCAGCACTGGAGCATAATGCTATACCTGGAAACAACAGAGAAAGAGGCTGAGTAAGGGACAGCTCAGTCCACCACACAATACAATCTCCCCATATTACAATTTTAACAATCTGTGATTTGTTTATTATGTTACATTGATAAAGATACATTTTTACAAACCATTTTTGTTTTTAAATATGGCTATTTTAAAATCCTGAAATTCCAGATTTAGCTACTGACTTTTTTAAAACATTGTGTTTGTTTCCAAGCATTCAAAAGCAGGAGCTTCAAGGCCAGGCAACCAGGAAGTTGATCTCGCGCAATAAAGAGTTTCAGATAACACACACTTTTTTACACTTCTTTTCTTTGGATTAAACAAACAACATAACAGTGTTATCTATTGAGTGTAGAGGATCTGGTTGGTGGATTTTGTTAGCTTGTGCAAATGATAGCTAGCTATAAACAGCAGGCTACAGCTAGGCTAATCTAGCCTTCTGTTAGCTGTAGCTTATTTACTCTACAAACATGAAAGCTGTTTCAATCTTCCCATTCAACTTTTGTTGAGAAAGCAACTATCCCTCTAATGTTCTATGTTCTTCCACATTGGTCCCTGGAAAACACCTTTTTGAATGAGTACAGGGGAATAGCTGATTTATTCTCTATCAATCTTTAAGTTTGTGGGCAACAGCTTACAGTCCAATGGATTTATCATTAAAGCGTCTTCTTTCTAGTCAGACCAGTGTGTGTATATGTGGTTTTGTGACGGACAAAGTGTTTTGTAGACATAGATTAACTCCCAAACGTCATTGCGTAACTGTTGAAATAACATAGTGGAGAAATGACAGGTTTTACTGAGTGACTGTTAAAAAATCTTGTTGTTACTACGTGGACTTTGTTCTTCCGTCTTCTAGTAAATCGGTGTTATTATTATAGTAGTGTTCATACTGAACTAGCCCTCCATTATGTGGCGCTTAACTTTGGATTTATGCAAACTAAGCAACCGCAACTAATTTACAGCTATTCTATGGATTTATGCAACAAAGCCAGCAACGCAATGCTCCTACTTACAAAGGGTCAGGGCAGTACTGAGGCTGGGGGAGCCTCCGGCCCTTCAGCAGGTAATGTGTTATGTCATAAGGGTCCACCTCTGGGTAGGGGCTCGCTCCTCTGGTCAGCATCTCCCACATCAGCACACCAAAGGACCACTGCGTCAGGAGAGGCAAACGTTACTAGTACCAGTAGGCCTACACATGTGCATAAATTAACTTTGATTCAGTCTTGTGATTTTGCAGAAATGTAAAGAAAAGGTTAGAAATCTAGAAACAACTTTTAAAGGAACCCTTATGGATTGATTTGTCTCTCACTCTAAAACTGTACAGCTTTGTACACATACATAGGAGGAAGGTCAGGTGGTGGAAGAGGAAAATTATTGTGAAACAGCCTGCAACTATATCGTTTTGTGCTTTAAAGCTACCAGGAAGTGACATTACATGCTAAATTATCATATTACATACGATAGTACACTATTAGTACACTATTGTTAATATTATTATGGTTGAAATATGTATTCATTTCATTTAATGGTTTATTTGGCAGGGACAATGCACAGTAATGAACACTTAAAACATTAAAATGTATCAAGCGTAACAGTGCCAGATTTAGCTTTGAGCTCATTTCCATCCGCAGTCCCTCACATAAAACATATTACTCTTCAATTATTGTCTGTTTTGTTACAGTTTTGACTTTTTAGTTTGTTGTTATGTTAGTTTGCTGGTTTTATTTAAGTTTCAGCCACCACACTCACTGAGCTGAATAGTTTGGTTGGATGGTATTTTATCTACTACAATATTTAAATCATGTTCTTGTTATTTCATTCCAGAAGACTAGAATCCATGTGGCAAACAAACTGATTGTGAAACATTTGTGGCACAGTGCCATCTGCTGGAGTATCAAGTCTGCTCAATAAGTTATGATTGAATGTCAAGAGAACCAAGGGCTGTGTCCAGGCAATATCGTTCAGTCGCTCCTCTTTACCCACCACGTCAGACTTGGAGGTGAATTTCTGCGTCTGCAGACTCTCGATGGCCATCCACTTGACGGGCAGCTTGGCCTTCCTGTGGTCCTGAACGCTGTAATACTCTTTATCAAAAACATCTCTGGCCATGCCAAAGTCTGCCACCTTCACTGTGTATGACTCGTCCAGCCTGAAGGCAGAGAAAGTAGAATTATAGTTTGTTGTACTGCAATGCGACAAGCTGAAACATCTCCCCACGCTGAATAAAAGAGTTATTCAGTTCCTAATGGCGGGAGATCAATTGCTGCTTTCTCTGCACATCGTTACGACTCACATGCAGTTGCGTGCAGCGAGATCTCTGTGAACAAACTTCTTCTGAGCCAAATACTCCATCCCCTTCGCGACCTGCAGCCCGAAGCCAATCAGATCCTTTACGGTGGGATTCTAAAGAAATCCCACAAACAAATGACAAAACACAATTTAAAACCGTTGAAAATGTACATTGTTTGACAGATGGGTGTTCATACACTCAAAAAGGATTAATTTGCACTGTTTTAATGTAGGATTCTCACCCTCTTCTCGCAGCGGATGAAGTGCCGCAGGTCCCCGTGTTTCATGTACGGCAGCACCACCAGAGGGAGGCCTTCCTGCGGCAGGAGGATGCCCAGCAGGGAGAGCACGTTGCTGTGGTGGAAACCCTTCATTATGATACCCTCCTTCAGAAACTGCTCCACCTCCTCCACATCTGTTATTCCTGGTGACACACAGACATACATACATAACCATTATGTGCTCAAATGTAAAGAAGGGAGGCACTGAATCGCAATTTTAAGAAGCTGCTATTAAGGGGAAACAAGTATTTAAAAGTTTCCTTAAATGATATATGAAAATATGGAATGAGGCATCGTCTTATTAACTTCTGGAACCGAAATCTGAACAATTAGAATTAGAAGTAGAATTAAAGAAGTTCAAAGAAGGCGTTTACCCTTTCTATCATAACAGCCTTAAAAAATATATTTTCACAATGTTTATAGGATGTTCTATAGCTCAGGCTATGAAGGATACATAAAAAACACCCTCTGTGAAAAACCTTAGGAATATAGATAAGATGTACCCTGTTGGTGTATGCACGCTTCTGAAGGATTTGTTTTGCATACACTACAGGTGAGAAGGGTCAAACAACCGTACTCATAGATATCATCATGAAATATCCCAAATCTATTACTTTCATTAAGAAAAGTGAGTTAACTATAGAGTTCAGTCACAAACTCACGTGTTTTCTTTAAAACATGTTTTATTAGAAAGCGAGCATATTAGTTGAGTTTGGCGTCTTAGGCTCCGGGCCTCATCACTCCACAGAGTATACATAGCACGATTGAGTGATGAAAATAATAACGCTAAGCCCCCCGAGCCCTTACAGTGGAAGCTTGGGGTGGGCACAGCCAGGCATACTTGTTCAACGCTCCCGATCTCCGCGGGAGACCTCCATTTCATTGCGTCTTTCCGTCCTCCGGTCATATTTCTTCCCGCATTTTCTCCCGATTTCTGAACAAAATCAGATTTACAACAGCGACTGTTTTCCACTCGGACTTAATTACAGCGAACACCATGTTTTTTGGTGTTCCATGGTAACACATCTCTTGTTAGCTAGCCGCGCGCAACTAAAAGTTCTGAGAGGCGTGAGGAAGATATTCACGAGAAAACGAGACAAGAATTGAGGTAACTACTCTACTCGTCTGCTCACCCTCTCTTGTAAAATGCAGTCTAGTCCACACATGTGCCTCCATCAAGGACGCGTGTACAGGCCGCAGGCAGTGCACTTACAACTACAATAAGCATGTTAATGTTAATCTAACAGCTCGGCGAACTCCACTAGCCACCCCCCCCAATTTTTGCATTTGAAATGTTTCCCGATTTCTGATGGTCTAAAAGGTTGGCAAGTATGGCAGGCAAGCAGCACCGACGGGAAGTAGCTGAGCAATAGCAGCAGCAAGCAAAGCATAGAAGAGACTGGCAGGTTAAATTAGGAGCGGCTAATTAAGGAGACTGTTGGGTTGGTGTAAGAGTTGGCAAAGGGGGCGTTATGTATGAATGCAAGCATTAAGGGTCGAGTTGAGGACTCCCTGAACTTACTTCGCAGAGAAGGCTCGCCCATTTATTCTGACATTT